AAATAATGTCAAATATAAAACAATAATTTTTCGTGTATATATTTATTATTTTAATTATCGATTAGTTCATTATATTTATAACTTTCAATAAATTTCATTTATTTAAATTATTTTAAGTATAAAATTTATATAATGTAATTTTAATATAAAATAAATTATTAATATTTATATTTTCTATTTTGGGTTGATTTTAATAAATTTATATATAAAAATAATTATTTTAAATTTATAAAAGTAAAACTATAATATAATGTAATTAATAAATAAATAATCAAAATATATTTATTTGTGTAAAATGAATAATAAATTTTCAAGGGCAATTAAGGAATAAAAAAATTTAGACTGAAAAAGCTATTCCAAAACGTTGGGTAAGTTAGCTTTTCATAAATTAGTTTTTGAGTCCAAAAAGCTAATTTATCAAACATCTAAATTAGCTGTTTGACCAAACATCCGAAAGTTGTTCAATAAATTAAAAGCTCTCCAAAAAGCTCTTTTTCAAACACCCTTTAAATGTTCATAAGATTGTAATTCACCCTACATCGAACCCCTAAGATATAGGTCTTGAAAATTGATTTGAGTAGATAAATTTCTATATCTCCTTCATTTCTTTAAATTTAGCTTTCTAATTATTTAAACCCTTAGATATGAAAAATCTTCAAATAGGCCATAGTGTTGGCTCAAGGCAAGAAAGCAAGTATATTGTACATGATTGTAAGTACTTAGGGAGTGTGATTACCAGAAATGATTAGGGTGGATAATATACAATAATTAAATGTAATCATATATTTGCTTTGAACATTAAAACTCATTATTATTCTCACTTGATCCGTAATTATTACAATACCTCCATCATGAGTCCAGTGACGGAACCAACCGTAAAACATTGTGAGGGGAGAGCAAAATATCGATTTTTTTTATCGATTCAATATTGTCTTTTTCGATTTCTCCCGCCACATCCAGGTAAAAAGGGAAAAGAAAAAAAAAAGGAAAAAATCGAGTCTTTTAGATAAAAATTCAACGAAACTGTTATGAAATGAAACTATATAAAATTTAATATTTTTATTTAAAAATTAAAAGTATAAATCAACAAATGGAAGAAAAAAAATTACACTATAAAATAAAATTAATGGGAGAGGGAAAATAAATAAAAAATACATCATTTTATTATTTTTACAATAAAAATTACATAAATTTTGGGGATTGGGGTAGGTGCCCTTAACTCCTACACAGGACCCGTCCATGCCTCCATCCCAAAAAAATGTGTTATTTGCTTCTTTTTCTTTTTTCTTTTATTTTACGGCATTATAATTAATATTAAAAATTTATTCATTATATTTATATTTTATTGTTTAAATTTTACATTTTTTTAAAACAATTTTTTTTTTTTCACCAACCAAAACCGTAAAGAAACACTCGGGATTTTGTTGGCGTGGGCGAATATTTTGCCAACCAAAATCATATTTTCGTAGCTATTTAGGTTTCATTGCAAAAAAACTTACTTTTTGCTACAAATGTCATATTTGTCACCAAAGATCTTTACTAATGCGGTATAGGCGACAAAATGAATTTCGTCGCGAAAACCTTTTTGCTATAAATTCTTATATTTTACTATGAAATTTTTTTTAGCTAAATTTTAACTTTTTTTGTAGTGTATGTAGGACCGTCCATGCCTCCATCCCAAAATAAATGTGTTATTTGCTCCTTTTTTTTTTTTTTTACGGTATTATATTTAATATTAAAATTTTATTCATTATATTTATATTTTATTGTTTAAATTTTACATTTTTTTATAAAAAAAAAATTATTTTTTTTCACCAACCCAAACTGTAAAGAAACACTCGGGATTTTGTTGGCTTGGGCGAATGCTTTGCCAACCTTATATAAATTCACCATTTTCATATATGTTTTTTCACCATTTTTTTTTTATGTATATTATTATAACCTCTCTTTCTTTCTCTCTCTCTCTCTAACACACTTTGATTCTTGGCAATATAATATTCATAACAAAATGCATGGAAGCCATGTGTGTGTTTAAAGTAAGAAAGAAATGAATTGGTAAAATGGAATAAAGACAAAACCCAACCCTAGTGAGAGGAGAAGGTGTTGTGTTGTGTTGAGTTGTTCCTTTCTCCAATAGACCCTTTCTTGGGATTTGAGCTTCGTCTCCATCTCCATCTCCATTGCTACTACCTACATTACATACATATATATATATATATATAGATCCCATCTTAATTAATTTACACACAAACACATGTATATGTATAGAGAGAGCTAGAAGAGAGTGTCGGTCTAACACATACATAAACATATTATGTAGTTCTCTCTCTCTCTCTCTCTAAGTTTATATATATATATATGTATTATTATTAGGTAGGGTAGGGTAGTATAGCATAGTTTAGGGCATGCAGTGACAAAGTGGGCAGAAAACAAGATGTAATCACAAAGCATCTTGACTTCAAATTTGATTTAATTTTATTTATAAGCTGATCGATATATAGATATATGTATATATATATATAGGGTAGCTGTGAGTTAGTGAGTGTGTCTCTTTTGTGGGACTGAATCTGATGATGTGATGATCATGACAAGTAGAAGTAGTAGTAGAAAGTGAGTAGCTAAGCTAGGCAGGACAAGTAGGCAGCCACCTCAGTTATTTGCTACCTACCTACCTACTTTCTTCCATCTCTTGTTTCTTCACTCTCTACAATCCTCGATCACAATATCATATTCTTACTATCATATAAGTATATCTATATATATATATATGTATGTATACACACACATAGTAACCAGTTGAGTTGACCTGCCAATCACATTCCACACACACAGTTGAGATTGTATACTTTCACCTTAATCTGATTTGGGATGAATTAATTCAGCTTTAGCTGTTCTATATATATATATATATATAGAGAGAGAGAGAGAGAGAGAACCCTAGTACTATTTGATTTGATTTAATAATTCTATTAACTTAGGTATTGTAAATGTGTGGTTTATAATCAAACCCTTGTCAATCAAGTGATAAGATATTCTTCATTTGAGGGCTAGATCCTAAATTCGATTTTGAATGGGTGCATGTATGTCTGAGTTGAGAGAAATCTCCATTAGATACGTTAATCCGTTAAAGTATCGCAAAATGCACTAAGTGCCCTTTAGCGAGTCATGTGGATACATGGAAATTGATAACGGCGCTTACATCAAATGAAATACCTAGTTAGGTGACGATCAAATAATTAAGGGTTGAGGACTTCCCTATTTAGGAGATTGTTTCGGATTTAAATCCATAAAAGAATGATTAATGACTTTGCTTTCAATCGGACATATTTCTTCCAATATATCGAGCACATTTTATTTGTGACAAAATAGCACCATTTTGTTATCGGCATTTTCAATCACTAGAAATTACTTCAATGACTTTAAATCATATATCCCAACACATACTAACATCACTTCGAATTTTTGAATATTGTCCAAAATAATTTGTGAAAATTGTTTTAAATCATAAAGTAAGTAATAAAGGAGAAAAATAAGATCAGATTCTCAGTACACAATAAAACTATGACGGTTGTTCCATATGCGTACAGACTATGTTTTTTGTGGATTTGACCACAAATTTTTACTATTCAAATTCTTTAAAAATAAAAAAATCAAATCAAGCAATTACTTTCTTTTTAAATTTTATACTATAAATTTATTTTACATTCAAAATATCACATCAATATCTACTTATATCACATCAAACAACTATTCAAATTTAACTTTTTACTTTTCAAAAATCCAAACCCACAAATAAATACACCCTAATATTTAAAAAATTCCAAATAGTTTCGAGTACGATCATTTAAAATCTGTCCTCAAATCAAAACATTTGGCTAACATCTAACAACTCGAATCAAACCAACGAAATGTTATGTGTATTAATTAGGTTATTTACGGTACTATCGATCTCTAGAGTCAATATTTAGATTAATCTAGTGTAGAAAACAATCAATAATAAAAGAATTAATCTCCAACATGAAGGCAAACCCTAAATGAGCATTGTTGTAGTAATACCAATAAGAAATAATTTTGCTCTCCAAATGTGAATGTGAATATGAATGCGAGTGATCGAAAACACGTAGTAATAAAACCAAAAAAGCTTTTTACTTTCAAAGCACGATAAGATATTACATATCCAAATTTGTCAGCGTCTTGGATCGATCCATGCATCGTTTTCAATATAATTATTTTATACGTACATAGTACAATAGTGAAGGAACAATAACATTATTTTTGAACCCGATGGATAAGTCATTGTTATTGTTGTAATAACAATATAATACTCCCTTCTCGCATCAATTATTTTATTTTATTATATCCGATAGTCTCAAATCACCATAATAGGGAAAATTGTAAAAAATATTATTCATGTATACTTCGTTAAAGTCACTATTTTTATCATTTGGATGTGTGTAAACGTGCGTGATCGCGCGTGATATAAACATCACGCGCGGCCAAAGGACATAAATATTGACTTTTGCAAGCATGTAAAATATATTTTACCAGAGAGATAAATACAGAACAAAAGTGATAATGAAGTATATATAGGATATTTTTTGCAATTTTCTCTACTGTAATATTATTCTTTTTTTTTTTTAATATGATTATACAAATACCACTATATTTTATACATATTTCTATTTTGGTACGTCCAATTACAAAGTAACTATTTCATTAAATAACCTATATTTTTTCACGAATACTTTTACTTTACATCATGGCAAAAATATCATTATACTATTTTTACCTGTTCACTATAATTAAAATATTATTATTTCTTAAATTCTGCGTAAAAAATAAATGTATATTTCTTGCATAGAGGGAATACCAAATTTCACATTATACTACTCTCATAATCATCAAAATATTGATATTTTTAAAATTTCATACTACAAAATAATATATATATATATATATCGATTCCTGACATTGATTGATCCATAGATCCGTACCAAAAGTTTTTCATCTTCTCGTCCCTTTCACATATCTGTCCTTCAGCTGTACCACCTCTTCTTCCCTCCGCCGTCTGCCCCGCTGCCGCCGCCGGCGGCCGATTCCGCAGCTCTCACCGGCTCTCCGACAATGGCGTCGCCGTAGGCCGGGAGAAGATTCCCCAAATAACGGTCGTGTTGCGATTGCGCCGCCGCCGGGAACGACACCACCCGCGACGGTGAGCTGTAAACGTACGGCCCCGCCGGCGGCGGCGGGTGGTGGTACATTGATCTCATCGGCAGTGCTCCCTCGCCCCTGAAATTTAAGATTTTATCCATTTCCGAGATTGCAATAATAAAATTAAATTAAATTAAATTAAATTAAATATAATAATACCCTGAAGATGAAATGAAAGGCAAGTGAGGATTAACCAAATCGTTGGTGAACACCAAATGCCGTGCCTTGTTCAGTGTTTCTGTCTCCCTTTCTGCTTAATTAATTAATTAATTAAATATATATAATAAACGCTAAATTGCACATAACGTACCTGTGATTTTATAAAATTGCGCCGATTTTCTATACTTTTAAAACTGCGTCTAACTCCCTCGTGATTTCATAAACTCTGCGTGTATTTGGCTCAAAATGCGAATAAATTTTAGAATCTCAATTTCTAAACCACTGAAATTACAAAATATTCATTTTCTTATATTTTTTAGTAAATAGTTATTTTTTTCAAGTTTAAAGATTTTATTTTTACTGTTTTTTTTAAACTAAATATAATAAAAATAAATATACTTCATCCGTCCTATTTAAAGGTTTCATTTTCTATTTTTGTCTATCCTAATTTAGTAATTGTACTACCTCCTAACATAATAAATACCCTTCAAACTTACACTATATTGCACACACAAATGCCATTACTTTTATATTAAACAATACTAATAGAGGTATTTTCGTCTTTTTCACTACAACTCGTTATAATACTAATATTCAAAAATCTACCTGTAAAAGTAAACGACAACCTTGCACGACAGAGGGAGGATTTGTAATTTTAGGAATTTAGAAATTGTAATTCTAAAATTTATTCGCATTTTGAGCGCATTTAGGTCGTTAAATAAGTACTCTCGAGGTTAGACAACAGAATTTATGAAACCACGATGAATTTGACGCAGTTATAGAAATGCAGGGATTTGGCGCAATCTCATAAAATTATAGATGAATTTTGTACAATTTAACCTATAATAAATTCAATTTATTAGAAATATACATATATATATATATATAGATAGATAGATAGGATTTGCCTTGGCGATGGCGATTCATGTGGCCGCCGAGGGCCTGAGATTTGCAGAATTTGAGGGAACAGAATCTGCACTGGTAGACCTTATTGGGGGGCTCCTTCTCACCGGGGCTGGTGCTTTTCTTTTTCCTGCCGCCGCCGCCGCCGCCGCCTGCAAATGCCAGTTACAGCAACTTTGAAGAGACTGAACCCAAAACCCTAATTTCATTATATATATATATTGAAAATATTCTCTTTAGCTTTTTCCTTTATTATTTTAATTTGCTTTGCCTTGTCTTGTCACTTTGCTTTCTAGGGTTTTGCTAGCATGCTCCCAAAAATATAAATAAATAAATAAATAGTAGTATTGACAAAATTAAATAAGTGTGTTTGATTGTGGGTTTGGGTTTTTTTTTTTTTTTTTAATATTTGAATAGTAAAAAATTGAATTTGAATACTTATTTGATGTGATATAAATAGATGTTGATGTAATATTTTGAATGTAAAATAAATTTGTAATATAATATTAAAAAAAATAATCGTGTAATTTAATATTTTTGGAGAGAAAAGAACACAACACTATGTTTACTTATTGGGGTTTAGAAAAGTTAAGGAATAAAAAAGGATAAGTATATATATATATATAATTTGATATTTTTTAAAAAAAAAAAAATAGTATTTCATGCAATTTAATAAGAAATTACTAAATAATTGAAGTCCAAGAAATTAAAGACATATATATAGAGAAAGGTTGAGTGGAGTTAATTAATTATTTAATTATGAATAGTGTGGTAAGTTGTATTAATAAATTTATATAACATAAATCAACATTGCATGCATTCATTTCTTGAAAAATAAATAAATAATGGATATATAATTACTTGAAGGAGGAGCAAAGGAATGGTGATGAACATTATCAGATATGTCTGATCTGGAGTGGTCCTCAGGTAAGTTGTTCAGATCTAAAGGGTTTCCTTCTGTAACTGTTCCCCTGAAATTAATTCAAATAACACAAAATTAAAACTAAGTAAATAAAATTAAAGAAATAAGCTTCTAAGAAATTATAAAATGATCGAGATGCACTTACATGGAAATACAAAATAGCTACTTGTTGAAGAACAAGAATATATATTTATATATATATATATATTTGGGTAAAAATAAATTAAAATTAATAAATATAGTAGAGGGAGAATGTAGGAGATGATCAAGTGTTGTTCTTCCGATGGAAGAATAAAGAAAAATCGATTTTTGCAAGGTTTGAGAATGAGGGTTTTGTGATATATATATATATATATATATAATTTTGAAGATAAGCAGCAGTCTAGATGCCTTTGAGAAAACTTCTCTCTCTCTATATCCTCTCTCTCTACTCTTTCTCTGTCTGTCTCTCTCTCTCTCTCTCACTCTAACGCATAGCATGGAAATTAAAGGACAAGTCTCGTGACTTTAAAAGGAGAGGGGAGAGAGGTAACATTTTGAATTTGGAAATATAGACATTGAATTGAAAAATATACTCCCACCGTCCCATAATTAAATATCTATTTACTTTTTTATATAGAAAATGACTAAAATAACTTTATTAGTATGTGTAATATAAAGGTAATGACATTTGTATAATATATTGTAAGTTGTAAGGGTATTTGTAATGTTATGTACATAGTACAGTTACTAAAAAAGAAATTGATACTTTGTTATTAGACGTACTAAAATGAAAAAATGGCTACTATCCTATTTAGTTAATTAAGAAATTTCTTAAGCCCTATTTATTGTACAAGGGACAACTTCGTCATCCCTCCTTCAACGACTGATAGTATTATGTATGTGATACTTCCTCCGTCCCAATATAATAGACTTATTTATTATTTTTGTTCGTCTCAAAACAATAGTCTTATTTTCATAAATAATCATATATCACCATAAAAGTACCCTTACTTTCTCATTATTATTACACAATTGTCACTATTTTTTATATAAAAATACTTACAAAGGCAAAAAAATCTTTTACTCGTCTTTTTACCAATTACCAATATAATATCAGTATTTCTTAAATCTCATGTCCAACACAACTAACACTATAGTTCTTGGACAGAGGGAGTAATATGTAAAAGACTAGACATTGTGCATGTAGTAGTGGGAGTTGTTGGTAGATTTAAGAGTGTCACAATTGTAAAAGAAAGGGATCGTAAAAAGAAAGTGACATGAAATGCGAGATAGACGAAAATATAAAGTGTGATATTATATATGGGATGGAAGGAGTATAATTATGTTATTTTTATAACTTGAGAATCAGTAACCGCTACTCTTCGAGTGTGCTTTGGATAAACCCGACTGAACTTAATATCCTGTAAATTAAGTGCGACAAAGCAAGTCACACTAGGTAAATTATGATAATTATATTGATTTTTATTTGTTTTTAGCTTTATTTTAGTCCACAATCTATTTGTATTGTAGGTACATTATTATTTAATTTTCTTATTAAACTCAAATAATGGTCTCTACGATGTCACTTGAATTTGAAAAAAATGTTAAAATATTTTAGATATTTAATTTATTATTTATACTCCCTCCGTCCCAAAATTAAATATTTATTTACTTTTTGCACGTAGTTTTAGAAATATTAGTATTATATTGGGATATAGTATGAATAAAGTAAAAATGACTAAAATAACCTTATTAGTATGTGTGATATAAAGGTAATGACATTTGTGTAATATATTATAAGTTGTAAGGATATTTGTAATGTTAGGTAGATAGTACAGTTACTAAAAAAAAATGAATACTTTGTTATGGGACAGACTAAAATGAAAAAATAGATACTTTGTTATGGGACAGACTAAAATGAAAAAATAGATACTTTGTTATGGGACGGAGAGAGAGTATTAAATTTAGTAATTTTAGATTAATTTCTTTATATTCATTAATTATATATATATATATATATATATATCTAAGTCTATTGCATCTCTATTATTTCTATTTATAGACTACTATTTCCATTATCAATTATAAGCAATTTTGATATGTTTTTAAAACATTTTACCAATATAAAGTTGAAGTATCATTATACATGACACATCATTAAAAATAATGTTTTCCAATGATTAAAATCGTAACTTGAGAAAGGTAAAAAGAAAAAACTAGTAGGTAAAAAATAAAGTAAAGAGTATTAACAAAAAAATTATTAAATAATTTATAATGAGTTGTAATGAAAAAGATGAAAATACCCCTATTAATATTGTTTTATATAAAAGTAATGACATTTGTGTAATATAGTGTAAATTGGAATAGTATTTATTATGTTAGATAGGTAGTACAATTACTAAATTAGAAAATGGTAACCTTATTTTGGAACGGACAAGAATGAAAAGGCAACATTTCAATGGGACGGAGGGAGTATAATTTTATAAAGTACATTATATTACTCCCTCTGTCCCGCAAGAAGGTTGTCATTTGATTTTGGCGTCATCGTACTTAACATTAAAAATATTCTTATATTTGAATAATTTAATCAATAAATATCACTGTATTTGTATTATAAGAGACTAATAAACGTATTTTTGTATTTTTCTTTTTATTTGTACTATGTATTGACATAATAATTAATATTCAAAAATCAACATGCAAAAAATCAATGACAATCTTCTTGCGAGACGAATGGAGTATTAATTTTTGCATAATAAACATATTTAAACAATACAATACAAATATAAAACTGTACAGTACATTCTTCTGTATAACATCAAATATACAATATAGTATTCAACCATCAACATTTCATTCAATATTGTTTTTATTATTTAGAAAAATAATAAGAATTAATTAAATAAATGAATATTGTTTTTATTTTTATTCTGTATTAATATTAATTTTATATTAAAAATATAATATTAATATTTAATTTATATTATATCAAATAATTATTTTAATTTAAAATATTATTATTCAAAATTCAATATTCCCAAACAAAGCACTCATGTCTTAAAAATTCATATTTGGGCTTATATTGGGCTTAGACTCTCATTGTCCAAAAGCCCAAACAATTTGGGCTTAATGTAATGACTCTGTCCATCGTCACTTTTAAGGTGCGAGCGGAGCTCATCCTCTACTCCCATGGCTTCTTCTTATCTGAATTCCCTGTCCGCCACACCTCCTTCCGTCGCCACGCCTATACTTCACCTACCTTCGCATTTCAAGGTACTCTCAAATCTAACTCAAAAACTAAACAAACCTTTTCGAATTTCGTTTGAATTTTGTGTAATTGCAGGGCAACGCGAGATCTTTGAATGCATACACATGCGGATTTCCATCCATAAAAATCTGCCTACACAAGTTCCATCGGAAACCGCCACTTGTGGTTCTAAACGCGGCGGATTCCGGCGTCCTCGAGTCCACCTCCGGCGGCCAGAATGTGCGGTTCCGCCTCGATAACCTAGGGCCGCAGCCTGGTTCGAGGAAGAAAGCGAAGAGAAAGGGGAGAGGACATTCGGCTGGGCAAGGAGGCAGCTGTGGATTTGGAATGAGAGGTCAGAAATCGAGGTCAGGACCTGGAGTGAGAAAAGGATTCGAAGGTGGACAAATGCCGCTTTACCGGCGGATTCCGAAATTGAGAGGCATCGCCGGAGGTAAATTCGTGTTTTCCGATCGTTTATTGCAGTTTAATTTGCAGATTCCGGCGAGGAATCAATTAATTGCTGCTGATCTGCCTGCCCTAGTTTTGCCAATTTGTTTCGATTTGGGGATTTAGGGTTTCAGGATGATCATGATACATATATATATATATATATATGCTGTGATTATATTTATGCCTATTGGATTTGTCAGTGTTTGCTAATGCTGATTGGGAGCTACTGTTGATTTTTGTATGAAATCCCTAGTTGATAATTCTATGCATATTTTCACTTAGGCGTTTGGTACGGATAATGTAATTGCAGATAAATACTATAGCGGATAATAGAATTGTAAATAAAATGAATTCAATCGAAAATAAGAATTCATTGGTAAAGTCGATAATTTAGCTGAGAAATGTAACATAGAAATGCAATTACAGTATGAATCGACGTAGAGGAGATAATGTAAAAGAGGGGATAAATCGATAAGGAGATAATTTGAATGCGATGTTTTGTAAAAAATAAACATATTTTTCGAAAACTTTGAAGAAAAATGCCTTTAGGGTGTGTTTGTTTGGGAGTTTGGATTTTGGTTTGGGATTTGAATAGTAAAACTTTTGAATTTGAACAGTTGTATGATGTGATATAAATATGTATTGATATAATGTTTTTAATGTAAAAATAATTTTTAGTATAATATAAGAAGGAAAAAAAAGTGTTTGATTTGATGTTTTTTGGGAAAATTTTTTTTGATAAATAGTAGAAATTTGCCGAAGTCTTGCAAACAAACACACTAATGTTCTCCTTAAGCTTCTGCCATTGACGATGGAAGCCTTCTGAGTTGTTGTGATGCCTTAATTCTGCCTTATGTCTATACACTCTTTTCATACGCTAGTCTTGAAACTTGATATCGATATTTTTATTTTATTTTGTTTCGATTCAAGGGATGTCTGCCGGGCTACCAAAGTATGTTCCTGTCAACCTAAAAGATATTGCCGATGCGGGATTTCAAGAAGGAGAAGAGGTCTCGCTAGAGTCCTTGAAGAGTAAAGGTTTAATCAATCCAACTGGAAGGGATAGGCGACTTCCACTTAAGGTAATGATTAGATGTTAAATCGATTTACTATCCAATGTTTTGGGGATGCCAAACATGTTCGGAAATCTAGTAAGGGTGTGTTTGTTTGGGGGTTTGGATTTTGAGTCGGGATTTGAATATTATAAATTTTAAATTGGAATAGTTGTATGATGTGATATAATGTGATGTTTTGAATGTAAAATTGATTTTTAGTATAATATAAAAAATGAAAAATGGTTGTTTGATTTGATTTTTTAAGGAAAAAAAATTTGATAAATAGTAAATTTTTGAGAAAATCCCATAAAAGACACACCTTAATATCTATATGCATTTTGTGCCGTCTTCCTATTATTCGAAGAACACTACTTCACTTTTCATTGTGTCGTAATTTTTAGCATCATTCAACATACGGAAGCGAATCTAGATGCATACGTGTGGATCTCTCCTTCGAACATATTTTTTGGATATCGTGATTATTCAATCATGTTCGAATTGGTCGCTTTTCTTCCATTGCCAACGAAATCGCTCCACTTTTAGTGATTTCTGTCCCATTTAATCGAATGGCTGCTGATCCTGTGCTGATCCGGCCAAATTAGCATGGTGTTAATTTGATCGGATCAACATATGTCATACACATAATCAGCATATATTTACATATAACACAACATATGTGGAGTTATAATATAATATATGTTGAATTATAATATAACATATGTTGTTTTATAAATGTGTTATGATATTTATAAATATATGCCGATTATCTGTATAGCTTATTTGACTGGATCAGCAGCTGATCCATACCCTAATAGAATGTTGTTGAAAATTTGTCGTCACTCATTTCGAAAATAATTAATGATTTTTCACTCTATTACCTGTAATATTATTGGACACTTTTTTTTGCTGAATTAGCTGCTGATCGCACGAGTAATTGTTGATTGATTCCTGTTGCATTTAATTGATTACTGTTGGAAATTCGAAGAAAAAAATTAAACTGCCTCCGAAATTATTCGAAAACTTTTCTCGTGTCTCTTTCAGATCCTCGGCGACGGAGAATTGAGCGTCAAGCTCAACTTCAAAGCCCGAGCTTTTTCAGCGTCGGCAAAAGAGAAGCTTGAGGCTGCAGGTTGTTCATTAACTCTTATTCCCGGGCGAAAGAAATGGGTGAAGCCGTCTGTCGCCAAGAACATCGCCCGGGCCGAGGAATACTTCGCCAAGAAAAGAGCCACCGAATCTACCCCGGCCTCGTGAGCCTCCTCGGATACTACGACACACCGGTCGGCCCGCGACGACGTCGAGATCTCTAAGGTATTGAAACAATCAATTTGGGGCCTATGTTCTTCCTTAGCATTTGATTTTAATGTTTATGCATTATTGTTGTTGTTGTTGTTATTGCAAAGTTGGAAGTGGTCCAAATGTTGGTGGGCATTGTTGGCAAAATTGCAACCTTTCTTTCAGCAATGTTAATTTAAAAGGTCGTGTTCATAATTTTATTTTATTTTTTTATTTTTTTTTTTTTGGTGAATTGAATTCTTGGTTGGTTAATTTTTACCTAATGTTTGATGCTCTAATTAATTGTTGAAACGGGTCTTGTTAGATGTATAGGTTTTCGGAATTTTGAAAATTTTAAAAATTTGGGAATAATAAAAAGTTAGGTATTAGTAGGGATGTTAAATGGGGCGGGTTAGCCCGGATCCGGTCTTAACGGGGCGGGTTCAGGGATAAAAAAAAATAAAAAAATTGGTTTGGGCGGATTGTGAATTTTGAGTTTTAGATCCGACCAGGTTTGGGGCGGGTTACGGGTTTTATTATAAATCCGCTCCATCCCGGACCTGGATTCGAATCCGGATATTTTAATAATTATTATAATTTATTTATATTTTTATACAATATAAATTATTTTTTTTTTATTTAAAAAATTTTAAATATAAAATAGAACTTTAATTCTAAATTAAATTTATGTTGGCATTTATTTCTCATATAATTTTCTTTATAATTGTTATTATTGTTGACCGTCGTCAATACGAACTATCATCAATATTTTATTGTTTTTATTTTTAGAACTATAATTTTTTTTATTTTGACATATACACTTTTTTTAGTATTAAATTATTTTTTTAAAAAAAATATTTTATTTTTTTTTCAGAAAAAAAAAAAAAAAAAAAAAAAAAAAGGTTTGCCGGATTAACACCGAACCCTCCGGGTTCGGGGTGGGACGGGTCCTGAGGCCGGGTTGAAGTAGAGCGGGGCGGGTCTTGGGTCCTAATATTTTTTAACGGGGCGGATTCCAAGGCCTGCAAAACCTGTTCCGAACCCGTCCCGTTGACATCCCTAGGTATTAGATTTTATGTTTTGTGAAATAAAATAAATATTTGATCTAATGGTTTTTGAAAAAAAATAAAAATTTGTTGGATTGTAGTTTGAGATTGGATGTTTGATTTGAGTTTTTTTTTAAATAGTATTTTGATATAATATTTTGTAAAAAAAAAAATTGTATTTTATTGGAAAAAATTTAGAATGAGTTAATAGCGTTGATTTCACAAAAGAATAAAATTAATCTTTGTTTAAATGGAAGTTTTTTAAAATCTGGGAAATAGTTTAAAAAATATTGTTTTAATTTAAATTATTTTTTATTATTTTCGTTTGATTTTATTTTAAAGTATTTCTTTAGTAAACGTAATTACAAATATATCATTATTTATAAAGTTAATGGGCAAAAATATTATAATATGTTATGCATTTACACTAATTAATAAAATACTACTCCCTCTGTCTCAAATACCATGTCCATTTTTTAGTTTTTGTCTTCCCACATTTTCCTTCTTTGAAAAATAACTACACATTTTAATCTCATTTTAAATTTTTTAATTTTATTTTTTTTAATTTCAATTAAACTAATTAGTTATCTTAATCTTAATTTATAATTATTTATATTATAGGATAATTATTTTCACTATTATATTCTTAATTATCTACTAATTACACCCCTCCTAAAATATCGTGTCTATAGTGTAGCAGACACGGTATTTGAGACGGAGGGAATATTACTATTTCAAAAATAATTATGATTTAATAAAAATATTAATAAATTAAAATTAAAATAATTAAATAATTTAATTAAAATAAAAATAAAAATATATATACAAATTAAAAATTTTAAAATATGATTAAAATTTATAATTATATTTTAAAAAATAATAAATTATGTAAAATAAACGAAAATAAATTTAAAAAATATGATTGGAATACTGTCCATAATTCAATTGGGTAGATAAAACCAATTAAGCTTGCCTATTTCATTTTAAAATAATAATAATTATTTTTATTTTAATGCAAAAAATCACTTTCAGCGTCAGACATGAAAGCGATTGATATCTTGAACAGATTCGACAGATTAACTAAAATAAATAAACAAATTGAGATCGATGAATACAAAAATAACTCAAATTAAAAATAAAAATAAAATAAAATAAAATGATTCCACGACTTTTCAATCAATATGCGTCCCAGCTAAAGTCTAAATAATTTTTTAAATTTTAAAATATGCGCTAGAAATATTAGTATTATATTGGGATATAATATAAATAAGTAGAAATGATTCAAATAATCTTATTAGCACGTGTGATATAAAAATAATGAAATTTGTATAATATATTGTAAGTTGTAAGGATATTTGTAATATTAGATAAATAATACATTTACTAAAAAAAAAGAAAATGAATACTTTGTTATAAGACGGACTAAAATGAAAAGATAAATACTTTGTTATAGAAACGATAGAGTATATATAATACCTGAATTTTATTTTATTCAATAAATTAAATTAGAGGGCCACACGAGGACGTGTACGTAGATCCGTACTTGTGCATGCATTTTGAACGTATACAAAATTATTTATATGTATATGTATATATATATATCGAAAATACAAGGGTGTGTTTGTTTGAAATTTTTTATTTTAAATTTAGATTTTGAATTATTAAATTTGGAATATTTGAATAATAAACTAGATTATCAAATGAGCAAAAGTGATGATATTTTATTATTTTATAAAAATTATTGGGTAATCTGTTTTTTTAGTTCCGTAAGTGGACCCCTTATTATTTTAGTTCCGTAAGTGGAGCCTGTCGCAAACTAGTCCCATAAGTGAAAAATTTTCGTTGTTTTAGTCCTCAAGCGCCGGAGATGCCCACGTGGTTCGCCGAAGGTGACGTGTCCGCCAGGTATCGCTAACCTGGCGGACACGTGGATTTTTATTTTTTTCATTTTTTAAATTTTTTTAAAACTTATTTTTAATTTTATTTGTATTTCTTTTTATTTTTTTATTTGGTCCAATTAAAAAAATTTAAAAAAATAAATAAATGAAAAATTAAATAAATAAATCCACGTGTTCGTCACGTGTCGCTAACCTGACGGGCACGTCACCTCCGGCGAGCCACGCGGGCGTCTCCGGCGCCGGAAGACTAAAACAGGGAAAATGTTTCGCTTATGGGACTAGTTTGCGACATGCTTCATTTACGGACTAAAATGATAAAGGGGTCTAGTTACGAGACTAAAAAACAGTTTACCCAAAATCATATTATACTAATAAACGAAATAAATATATTGATTGCAAATAATAATTCAGAGTTGTAAAATAAATTATACTTATCTATCCTAATTTAAAATACTTTCTCCATCCCATAAGAATGATACTATTTTTCATTTTTGTATGTCTCAAAAAAAAATATTATTTTCTAATTTAGTAATAACACTATCTATATAACATAATTAATACTCTTACAACTTCCAATATATTTCACAAATGTCATTATTTTTTTATCACACAATCTAATAGGGGTATTTTTGTCTTTTCAACAATCCAATACAATACTAATATTCAAAAATCTACATACAAAAAAAAATGTTACTCTTTTTGTGGGACGGAGGTAATATATTTTTTTACTATTTTTGTTTGTCGCACTCAATAGTATTTTTTTAAAGTAATTATACATTAATATTAAAATAATTTCAACTTTTATTTAAATTACAAACATATCATTACACGTACAATTATTTTTACATAAGTCAAAGGACAAAAATGTCAAAACAAAGCACCCTTTCAATAACTAATAAAATACTACTCCCTCCGTCCCACATACCATGTCCACGTTGCCGTTTCTGTTCGTCCCACATACCATGTCACTTTCCTTTTCTGGAAAATGATTACACACTTTAATCTCATTTTAAATTTTTTATTTTTTAAAAAAATTTTAATTAAACTAATTAGTTATCTTAATTTTAATTTATAATTATTTATATTATAGAATAATTATTTTCACTAATATATTCTTAATTATCTACTAATTACACATCTCCTAAAAATAAATACGGTATGTGAGACGAATGTAGTACTATTTTTTTATTTACAATCAAATCCCAAAAGTCCTCTTTCAAATGGGATGGGGGTATAATTTAATGTATTTTTTGTAGAGAAACATAATAATAATATAAAATCAATATTCTCGTTAACTTAAAATATAATTTTTTTTATCGTTTTGTTTTTTCAATTCAAAAGTTTTTTTTTTATTTTAGTAAAAATAATTATAAAATTTTTTTTTATTTAAATTATAAATATATTATACTTATACAATTACTTTATACATAAAGATAAAAAATAAAAATATCAAAATTTCTTACATATTTTTATTTAGTAATAAAATATTATTATTTTTTAATTTGTTACGAAATTTTAAATAAATATATTTAGGTAGGAAGAAGAGAGTACTTTTTTATTGAATTATTAAACTTATAAGTAAATGTAATATTTTTTACGTTCCATTAAAAGGTTGTCATTTTTTATTTTCGTTCGTCTCAAAACAAAGTTATCATTTTCTAATTTAGTAATTGTACTACTTACCTAACATAATAAATATCCTTCCAACTTACACTATATTACACAAATGTCATTAATTTTATATTACACAATACTAATAGGGGTATTTTCGTCTTTTTTACTACAACTCATTATAATAATCATATTTAAAAATTTACAGTGTAAAAACTAAACAATAATCTTGCACCGAGACGGGGGGAGTATATATATATTGTAATATTAATTGAGAACCTAGTTAAAAATATATTAGGGGTGCGTTTGTTTGGAGGATTGGATTAGATTTTTACCATTCATCCTATTTTTTTCTCCCAAAAACATCAAATCAAACACTTATTTTTTATTTTTTATATTATATTAAAAATCAATTTTACATTCAAAACATCACATCAACACCTATTTATATCACATCATACAACTATTCAAATTCAAAATTTTTACTGTTCAAATCCCAACTCAAAATCCAAACCCCCAAACAAACACAGAGTACACACTCGAAATATTATAATAATTTATTATTTTTATAATAATTATTATATTGACAATAATGGAAGAGACGTGATGGGTCAAAGGTGGTCAAATAAACAAAAAGTCAAGTCCTACACGCAATTAATTT